AAGACAGACGCTTTTTGGATATCATGGAGACGGGAATACAGAAAAACCAGTGTGGAAACTGGCAGATGCCGCTACCCTTTCGTCGCCCCAACATCGCGATGCCCGACAATCGATCCTTAGCTGTCAACCGTCTCAATGGCCTGCTGCGCACCTTGAAGAAGAAACCCAAAATGAAGGAAGATTACCTCCGGTTTATGGCCAAGGTTTTTGAGCACGGCCATGCAGTTCCTGTCCTTCGATAGGAGTTGTTGGTAACAACCTGCCTGAAGAAGAACGAACCTAACGAACACGACCAACAAGACCAGGACCATACGACACCTATCAGAAGTGGAGATCAAGTATGGTATTTACCACATTTCGGGGTTTATCACCCTAGAAAACCGGACCAAATTCGTGTTGTGTTTGATTCGTCAGCCGAATTTCATGGAGTCTCACTGAACAAAGAACTACTCCCCGGGCCCGACCTCATGAATAGCCTTACTGGAGTACTGATGCGCTTTCGTCAGGAGAACCTTGCCACGATGTGCGACATCGAACAGATGTTGCATTCGTTCCACGTGTCACCAGAGCACCAGAACTTTCTTCGATTCCTTTGGTTCAAAGGTAACGATCCTTCGAAAGAAGTTATCGAGTACAAGAGGACCTTTCACTTGTTCGGTAATGGACCCAGTCCCGCCATTGCCTCCTTTGGTTTAAGGAAGACGGCAGATGACGGCGAGGAGAAGTATGGCAAGGCAACTAGAGATTTCGTTTACAGAAACTTTTACGTAGACGATGGGTTAACTTTATGTCCCACAGTGAGCGAAACCATTAAGCTAATCAGAAACGCCCAAGCCATGCTGGCCACTGCAAACCTAAGTTTACACAAAGTGGTGTCCAACTCAGTGGGCGTCATGGAGGCACTGCCTGCGGAAGATCGTGCAAAGAGCGTCAGCGATCTAGACCTGTGTCGTGATGTACTGCCAACACAGCGTTCGCTCGGGTTCCATTGGGATATCGAGAAAGACGACTTCACTTTCTGCGTTTCATTGCCAGAAAAGCCCTTTACGCAGAGAGGAGTACTGTCCACTATAAACTCTGTGTACGACCCACTGGGGCTCGCATCTCCAGTAATCTTGGAAGGCAAGCTAATCCTACAGCAACTCGTCCTCATGGGAAAGAAGGCCAACAACAACAATCCCCTTGGCTGGGACGATCCACTCCCGGAGAATATGAACAAACACTGGAGTCGTTGGAGAGACGACCTCCCCAACCTAGAGGAGGTATACATCCCTCGATGCTACCACCCCGAAGGATTTGGCACCATCGAACGAAGAGAGATACACGCGTTTTCCGACGCAAGCAATGAAGCCATTGGAACTGCGGTCTACTTGCGAGAGATCAGCTCTGGAGGAGACATAAGTGTTTCACTCCTGTTCGGACGATCCAAAATCGCACCCACCCACTCAACGAGCATACCCAGACTTGAGTTGTGCAGTGCGGTTCTAGCCACCCAGGCAGTGAGAATGATACGCAGGGAACTTGATGTCCAAATCAACGAGGAAATTTACTACTCCGACTCGAAGGTAGTATTAGGCTATATTCAGAACGAGAGCAGGAGATTCTACGTCTATGCAGCAAACCGCGTCCAAACAATCCGCAACGCCACAGAACCAAGCCAGTGGAGATACATCGACACCACAAGTAATCCTACAGATCTTGCAACCCGCTGCATATCCCCAAGCAAACTGGTGGAGTCGCGGTGGATCTCGGGGCCAGACTTTTTACGGAGTCAACTATCTCAGCCTCCATACTTACCTCAGGAGGTGCCTCTGGATGAAAGCGACCCCGAAGTGAAACGAGAAGTTACCGCCTGTGCCACCAGGTCACACGCTTCACGAGAACTTGGCTGCTCAAGATTCAAACGCTTCTCAACTTGGTCGTCAGTAAAGCGCGCGATCGCTAGTCTCATCTCACTCATAAAAGATTTCAAGGGGAGAAATGAAGAGCGCTTAAAGAAACCAACCAACCCCTTACCTATTCCATCAGCAGCAGAGCTCGAACATGCGGGCCAAATCATCGTAAAGGCAGTACAGGAAGAAGCCTTCGCCGCGGAGTTAAAGGCGTTATCGTCAACTGGAGGAAAGAAAACACTACCTAAAAGTTCAAACCTGCACCGATTAGACCCCTTCTTGGGGCCAGACGGGCTACTTCGTGTTGGAGGTCGCCTAAAAAACTTGACCGAGCTTATGGTTC